GGTGCCCCAGATAACTCTAAGACTACCTGATTTTTAATTCTGGCTCTGTTTCTTGCCTCGTGTTTTGAGGCAACTTCTGCCTCAGTTTGTTTATCTATAAAATGGGACCAATAGTACCTCATGTGGTTGTTTTAAAGATTAAGCAAATTACAATGTGAAAGGCTCATAATATATCCATAGACATCATATAAGTGTATTTTTTATATTAATTTCCAGATTTTCTTCCTTAAAGATTTTGTGAGAATCCTTAAAGCAGAATGACATCAGGAACAATCTCAGGTTTGGTCAGATCTGGACACTTCTTCCTGTACTGTCCCAGCTCTGCCAACCATTTTCTGTTTCCCATGTCTACCCCCACACCATTCCCTGTTTGAATTGTTACTTCTTTTCTTCAGTGCCTTATAGGGATTTTAAATAGTACTTATTCTTTGCATTGGCAAAGTTCAAAGTTCACCTAAATACAAGCTTTATAGAGGCTTCATTTCCCTGCAATATAGTTTGCAAACAGTTGACTTCCTGCTTTACTTATAAACTGTGGGGAAGGGCGCCTGGGTGGCTCAGTTGGTTAGGCGACTGCCTTCGGCTCAGGTCATGATCCTGGAGTCCCGGGATCGAGTCCCGCATCGGGCTCCCTGCTCGGCGGGGAGTCTGCTTCTCCCTCTGACCCTCCTCCCTCTCATGCTCTCTGTCTCTCATTCTCTCTGTCTCAAATAAATAAATAAATAAAATAAAATAAAATAAACTGTGGGGAAGGTTTTTGTTTATTTGCTTGGCTCTTTACTCTTAACCCGAGCATCCTACTCTATGTGTCTCTGTCACACGGCACTGGAGGAACTCATTTTTTTCTCCTCCACTTGCTCATTGGGGTCCAAACTGAAATGGCTCCCACCATGGTACAGTGCCATGACTCTTCCCTGGTGGCTAATCTACATTCTACTAATAGTTTCTCTGATTAAGCCAGTCATGCTTAGAACTGTGTAGGGTACATTGATAGTAAGCTCCCAAGTCCTGAGATGCTCTATTTAACCACATGACCCAGAGGATTTTGGCTCACAGATTTTTTTCACTAAAAAAACAGCTTGGCATGAAGATAAAATAGGTTTTATAGGCAACTATCCACCAAATGCATCAAATCGTTCTTACGCAAAGAAGACAAAGGCGGAATTCTGTTTACTAAGAGCCTACTGTGTAGCAGACACTAGTTACTTTAAGGAATATTTTGGATTAAGTCAAGGTTGGAGCATGACATAAGGTCCTCTGTTTGCCCCTGATAGCACAGCTTCGGGTGACAGAATGTTCCAGGGGCTTTGTGACAATCACAGAATGCTCCTACGGACTGAAACAGATGCCCAGACATACATCTTGTTTTGCATGCACCCAGGATATCTGTAGGAGAGAGCTCAAACCTGGTCCACATGTTGTGTTCAGGCATCCAGAAACCAGTCTAAGGGACTGGGATCCCTCAAAGGAGGTTGGTCTGGAGACAGGGACCTCAGAACCTATGAGAAGATACGGAAGAACAGGTCTGAGCTGGTAGTTTGCCTGAATGTCAGAGGGAGCAGTGGCCACAGGAGGCTGTACTTGATCTTCCTTGACATTTCTCCTCTCCCCCTAAGCTTGAATATGCTATAAATGGAGAAGGCAGGGACCTAGGGGGCATAACTGTTGAAGTATCTCTAATTGTGGGACCCTAAAGGATTTTTCCTACTGCCCAGAGGGAAAGAGAAGCGTAAGATCAGCAGTGTAGGGGTAAGAGCAGAAGACATGAAAATGAAGTGACTGCAGGCACACCTCACTCATGGGGCTTCCCAGACAGAATAAATTAATGGGAAGGGCTGCCACCAAAAGACTGAATTTTCTACCGGTCAAGTAGCTTGGACTCAAAGCTTGAGATTCAGGATATTATTATAAGTATCAAGTATATGTCCTGGCAGGTGAAGCCTGAGGCTATATGGGTTATGTGCAATTAGCTTATGCAATTAATTTTACAGAAGAAAAACTGAAGTTGAATGAGGTAATTTTCCTAAGTTCACGGAGATAATGGATGACAGAGCCATGAATAAACACCAGAGCTATTTGTCTCCAAAAGCCAGGATCTTCCCCCTATACCTTAAAACTTCTCAATAGGGCGCCTGGGTGGCTCAGTTGGTTGGGCGACTGCCTTCGGCTCAGGTCATGATCCTGGAGTCCCTGGATCGAGTCCCGCATCGGGCTCCCTGCTTGGCAGGGAGTCTGCTTCTCCCTCTGACCTTCCCCCCTCTCATGCTCTCTCTCTATCTCATTGTCTCTCAAATGAATAAATAAAATCTTTAAAAAAAAAAAAAACCTCTCATCAGATGAAAGATTCAGTGGAGCACCGTCAATATGCATTTAGAATATTCCAAACAATAATGATAAAAAGTAACATATATTGAGCAATTAACATATGCTAATATACGCTAAGTGATTTACCTGTGCGTCTGTGTGACTTACTGAGAAATTGATCCGTATTTTTATTTTTTCTATTGTTTTCACTGAAGAATGATGACAAAGATGAGACTCTATGCCCTTGAAATATAGATTTCCCTTATCCTCAGAGTGAGAGTTTCAATAGGATTCATTTCAAAGCCCTCAGCCAATAAAGGGATTAAACTGGGCTGTCCCAAAGGAGGTGAAAATGGAGGCTTTGGGAGGGTGGCCCAACCCTGGAGTTTGTTCCTCAATTGAAACATGGGGAGGACGCCTGGGTGGCTCAGTTGGTTAAGCGACTGCCTTCGGCTCAGGTCATGATCCCAGGGTCCTGGGATCGAGTCCCACATCGGGCTCCCGGCTCAGCAGGAAGCCTGCTTCTCCCTCTCCCACTCCCCCTGCTTGTGTTCCTGCTCTCGCTGTCTCTGTCTCTGTCAAATAAATAAATAAAATCTTTAAAAAAAAGAAACATGGGGAGGATTGTGGATTTCTCAATGGCCTGGACCCTGCGTTCTGGAGATAACAGTCCTTGTATGAGCATGAGAATGGAGAATTGGCCTCAAACGCTGCATCTTGAGTGCCTTGAATAGGATGGTTGTGGCTAAGGAATCAGCAGAGAGGAATACTGTGAAGAGATATCAGTCAGCCCAACCACAAAAGCCATTTCAGATACATGGCACAGAAGCTCAGCTATAGTTGAGCAGTTAGACGACTGAGCTGCCACCCATGTTGTGAAGGCTGGATACACAATGGCCCTGTAGAGAGCAGCCACATGGAGCCAAGAGAGAAGAGAGCCATCCTATGACCGAGAACCAGACCCCCCCATTTTTCTAGGAAGATGTAAGCTCCAGGAATTTTGTAAGCTCCAATGAGGATAACCCCAGCTGATAACTGGTATTGGACTTATTGACATTGATAAGTGGTGATTTGGAGATGGCTTCATAAGAACCATGACACCTCTTGCACCTTGAATGTCCCAGAACTATTCATACCTGTTATACATATAGTAAGTCACTTTCTATTCCCACAATACATTCCTGAAGTTCTCTTATCATCCTCCTTTTACAGATAAAGAGATTAAACCATAGAAGTTGAGCAAGTTGCCCATGTTCACACAACTCAAAGCCTTTCTTAACCTGAATTTAGGCCTTTCAGACTTGCCAGCCTTATAAAAAGCCCTGTGACAGTTTCATCTGCATGACTTGAAAACTAATTCAATGAGTCTCTTCCCCACTATAGAAACAGAATGTCGGGTACCTGGGTGGCTCAGTCAGTTAAGCATCTGCCTTCAGCTCAGGTCATGATCCTGGAGTCCTGGGATCCAGCCCTACATTGGGCTCCCTGCTCAGCGGGGAGCGTGCTTCTCCCTCTGCCTCTCCCCCTGCCGCCCCACTCATGCTCTCTCTCTCACTCTCCCTCTCTCAAATAAATAAAATATTTGAAAAAAAAATAAACAGATTGTCACCCAGCATAAATAGGTTGTGTGGCAGCGTTCACTCTTATTTAAAAAAAAAAAAATACTTATTGATATTTAATTACGTATAGGATATAACAAGGTTTTTTGTAAACAGGCATGTCTTAGAATTTGGTTAGAGAAACAGACTATATCAATAAAGATATCTTTAAGTTTTGAGAGAGTGTTACAGATAATAAATGCTATAGGAATTTGGGTTGGAACACTAGTAGATGGTGTAATGGAAAAATCATTAGACCAAAAAAAATTGTTAGATGAGTCAGAAGACAGTTCTAATTCTGAGAATCACTTCTAGCTCTTTAACCCTTAAGATTCTTAATTTCTCTGTGCCTCAGATTTGTCATTTAGAAACTGTTGGTAGTAATGCTCCCTTCTTTCTTCACGGGGTTTTAAAAATTATGTGTGCAAAAATGTTTATAAAATTATAATGAACTATGTAAACAAGTGAGAGATACTGTTTTCCCTCTTTTCATCAGTGCCCTATCTTCATGATTCCTGAGAACTATGATGATTTATGTGTCAGCTTGACTAGGCTATTGTGATCAGCTGTTTCACCAAACATCAGTCTAGATGTTGCTGTGAAGGTAGTTTAATATTTTATTAAATTTTTTAAGATTCTATTTATTTATTTGAGAGAGAAAAACAGAGAGCACACAGAGGAAAAGGGAGAAGCAGGCTCCCCACTGAGCAGGGAGCCCGACGAGGGGCTCGATCCCAGGACCCTGAGATCATGACCTGAGCTGAAGGCAGACACTTAACTGACTGAGCCACTCAGGCGCCCCTGAAGGTAGTTTTTAGATGTGATTATCATTTAAATCTGTAGACTTTGAGTAAAGCAGATTACCCTTCATAACATGGGTAGGCCTTCCAATCATTCGAAGACCTTAAGAAAAAAACTGAAGTCCCTTCCCCACCAAAGAAAGGAATTCTGACTCCTGACTGACTTCAGACTCTAGACAGCAACATCAACTCCTGCAAGAATTGGCAGGCTACCCGCCAGCCCTTCAAATATCATATTGCCAGCCCCTACATTTGTATGAGCCATTTCTTTGAAATACATCTCTCTCTGTGCAACCAATATGGGGTATATATGTGTGTGTGTGTGTGTCTGTGTGTCTGTGTGTGTATACATATGTGTGCGCACAGGTCCACATTCACACACATAGACATCCTATTGGTTCTGTTTCTCTGAAGAACGCTGACTAATGCAATAGCTGCTCTGAATGAAGGCCTTACTTTAACAAGAAAAATGTGGAAAGCAATCAAAGCAACTTCATAAAATACTATTTTATTCTCGACATTTTTTGTTGGTCAGTTTTCAAATATAGAGGAAATACAGAGTATGTTTCATAATAATATCTTCCCTTATTCTTATGAAATATGCACACTTATGATACCCAAGTAGAAAGTAGGATAAAACAAGAATGTTTGCTATTGTCTGGGGTTGCTGATCTGCCTTTGGGGACTGAGTGTGTGTCTTTGTTCAAGGAATTCGGTGCATTAGAAATACCTGCCTTCCCTGTCATCCTTTGTCCAAAGGGGATGTAACCCATTCTTTTAAGCCCCATTCAGTGTGCTGAAATGCGAAATTCCTCTAGCCGAAAGTGGTTACTACCTCCTTTGAACTCTGTTCCTCTTTTAGTATTCATCACTTTATGTCCTGAATTATAGTTATGTGAATGTTTCTTTTGTTCCCACCTCTAGAAATGACAGTCTTCTTGAAGGTAACAGTTACTGATAAATCATGGTTTTCATCAGAGCCTGCTCTAGGTCCTTGCCTAAGGTGTCTTGTTAAATACATACTGAATAAATAAAATTTTGTGGGTCATTTTGGTCTCTGGACTTTAAGTCATTCTCTCCAATTTGTGCCATTAACAAGTCTTATAAGAAACTTCTATCAGAGTGACTGTAATCTTTTTGGTATGGTAGTGGTCTGGTGGGTGAGTATTTATTAGGTAGTAAAGGAATGAACAGGAGCAGCATGGGGCTTTAGCTGTGAGCTTGAAAGTTGGCCTAAAATGACATTTTAAATGAGGGAATTTTATGAACAGAGGTAGTAAAATCACACAGGCCTTGAAGTGTACTTTGGTAACTATACAGTTATCAAGGTACTTCCTTGTTCTCCCATGACATATTCCTGATATTTATCAGTGATATAAACTCACTGCTAAAATTATAACAAAAGCAAAGCACAAATGTCTGTGTACCCATCAAATATTTCACTTTCAAAGATATTTCTGTGCCCTCAGTGAACAGCGTGTACTTTCCATCCAAATTTAGAACACTTTACTAACTTCACATTATGTGAATAGACACAGTGGCACAGAGATACAATGACTTCTTAGGGGAAAAAAGAGCTGAAATCTATTTTAGATCGAATAATTTTAAAATTCTAATTCAGTGTGTTTGACATCTAATATTCCTTGTACCTCTGGGAGAAAATTCATCAAAATGGTATGACTGGAGGACAGAGACTTGTTCTTGAGTTCTATTCAACTAGTTTTACATTTTAATGCATCTAAAATTCCTAAAACCAGAATTACTCTAGAAGCTAAGAATAATAATCCACACTATACTCAGTTCATTGACCCAATATTGACTGATAACATATCATAGCACTATGTGGAATGCTAAAGACCCATCCATGAAGAAAACATAGACTTACCCTCAAAAGCAACTGTTTATGGCAGGGGGTGGACATATACACCAAACCGACTGTTAAATCTTGATTGTTGTGAAATATCATTTTTAGTTTTCCCTGCTGTCACTTCACCATGGTAAAAAAAAAAAATGGTCTCCTTTCCTAACTTGTCCCTGAAAAGGTAAGGTCTAGTCTCTCTTTATATAACAGCTGCCCCTCCTCCATCCAGTAAACACAAACAGAACTATTCAGAAAATTAAACTGTTTGGGATTCAGGCCCATTGAGGAAGATTATACTGGATTATCTCAGAAGGAGAGTACATAGAGGAATTGAATTACTGTTTCCTGAGGTCGGTAGGGACAGGGTCCTATTCCCAGTCAGAATCCCAGCAGGTGGCATGACCTGTGGTAAGGAATGCATGTAGGTGTCTGGGGGTCAAGTCCATACAGC